CGAATCGCTTGCAGCTTTACCAACTCCGAAAGTTGCCTCTCAAGTTGCAGTGCTGGAGTGGACGTCGGAATCTCTGGTTCTACGCGTCTGAGCCAGTGGCGCTCGCGGGTGTGGTTTACTTGAGGAACCCACTCCTTGCTACCACCAACAAAGTAGTCGGGTCAAACAAGATACAGCCGGTAAATCAAAATGTTCATGCAAAATCTGAAAGGCTTCTGAGGGCGGTTGTCACCCAGATCACGAAATCCCTTTTGCCATAATTTCTCTTCTTTTTGAGGAGCTATTGAGGAATGGCTATTGTGTTCTGATAACTGTGGAAAAGCTGTGTCAGTTACCGTGCATTGCACCAGAGACTGTTTCCAAACAACTCCAGAAGACACTCGTCACTCAGGGTAACAAGCCGACCGACTTTGGGCTTTTTTCTCGAGTTTCCGGACATCGGCAACCAGATGTTTGCCATGTCGTGAAAGACACTCTGGAGGTCCATAGCAAGACGCAGAGATGACACGAGTGTGCTGCAGGGGTTCCGATAAGGGTTCAGTGACCAGGCAACAGAAAAATTCAGCTGAAATAGTTTGTTACGTAATTGGAGCATTTTCTTAGAGTGCGACCCTCCTCCTCTCCTACCTTTTGTTTATGTTTTGTAACTATGCCAAAAGTTTCAGCAAATAAAAAGAAACAAAAAGTAGCTCTGCCTGCAGTGCTTGCTGCTAACGTAATAGTAGTACAGTAACGTACGTGGTCCACAGGAAACTCTCGAAATATGTATATGTTTTATGACATGAGCACAAGAAACGAACGAAGCCATTCGTCGCTGAATTTCTTGTTGTTTCTTGGTATAGCTGGTGCAGAATTGACAAAGTGAGGACTTTGTCCTATAAAAAACGCTGTCAGCGTCAAACTCTTGCAGGAAGGAGCAATTAGAACCGTCAAGCGCTCAGGGTTTCTCTAGTGCAATCTCCAAGCTAGCGAAGACCTTCCAATCAAAACAAAAAAATTTAAAAAAGAAATACAAACGGTATGGTATGTAATGCTCTACGGAACCCAGTAACAGGGCCCGCTTGCACTATTCGAGGGAGTCGCATTCGTGACTGTGGGAAAGGGGGCTGCATTTGGTATAGAGCAAGGTTAGCTATCTCTGAGAAAAGCGCGAACAGGGGTCGTCGGGCGAAATTTCACGAAAGCAGTGTGAAGTAGGCAGAATTGGTGAATTTGCCGCTTCCCCCCCCCCCCTCCCCGCCCACTAGTGACCGTTTTGGAGAGAAAAATATGCGGGATAGTGCTAAAATAATTGTAGCTTATGAGGTAAACACTGAAAGACTAAAGTTTTTCCTTGTGCTGGGGATTGCTCCTTGTCGTTTTCATCGGAACTCACTTCTCCATTGCAAAGAACGGGGACTAAAGTGCATGACATTAGTCGTATCACCTCAGGGACATTCCTTGCACTAGACATCCGGCGTCGCGTTTCCCATTCACTTTCAAAATACTACCGTTACTCCGATCGTCGCTCTTCCCGGTACTTACGACCAGGGTCGACCAACTCTTCGATTTTTTC